CTGTCTACCAAGTATATGTACTATTTAGGTTATTCAAAATTAGGGAAATAATTTTGCTAGATCTACTACAAAATGGAATCGAAGAGAAAAATCTTAAAATCGAAGAAAAATTCCTTACCAACCCGAAAGAAGAGACTCATCAGTCTACTGATCGGGTTATCCAAAATTATGGTAAGAATTCTGCTGGAACTACTAGAAAATAAAGTCAAAAAAAGAGGTCTCAAGTATCAACATCCATGCAGGAAACATAGACGAAGTATACAACAATCTGCACATCTCATTACCATTAACTCATTATCACATGAAACTTATACAGAAGACAAAAAGCATACTATTACGGTTGCTATTAGACGTTGAAAAAGTTTGGTAAAATAGCTTGCTGGCAAAGATGATTCAAGCCATCCTGGAGAGATAACTTGATAACTTCGGGTTCCTGTCTAAAGTACAGGGAGATGAAGATGAAGCTGGTAGATTATCTGTTATATAACATAATCTTAGATAATTTCTTGATGATAGCAAAAACTAAAGCATAATAGTTTCAATTAGCAAATTAAAACTAAAATAGAAGATGCTGCAATAATGTGAAGAAATTAAATGTTTCAAAGAATGAATGTTATGTTCAGCTATGAATGCTCCGTACTATGTCCGAAATTCAAATATGCTTAAAGCAAAGAGTTGTGTGGTACTCTCCACAATGCTTTAGAGGCACAAACAACGTGGCTTAAACTAATGCAATCATTTCATCAGTATTCCATCAGTATTTGCAATTAATGACAGTCTGAATAATTGTGTATGGTCCTTTTTACCACTGATATGGATTGAAGGCAAATCAAATTATCAAATTATTAATCAAATTTCATGTTTTGATTTATTGCATCAGAGCACAGATTCTATGGCAGCTAGCCATACAAGGTGTAACATAGTAGTCACCCTGACATTGTGTAAATGACCATCAAGTAGTAGTTACGCAATAAAAATGTTTAGGAGTATAGTTTGGAGTAAATGACAAGTCACTTGACTACAATTATGTATACACATCGGGATGAATACACATTTAAATTGAGATAAAAAAGTGAATGCAACTAAACTCTAACAACATGATTTCCTCACTTTTACCAGATTTATTAGCTTAAGACCTGAAGTGTTTGTAGATGCAAATCGGAAAGAACGGGACATACATGTTTGGAAATGGAACACTGCGTATTATTTTATTCATTTATTCATAATAAGAAGTAGCATTGGTTTCAGAGTTTAAATGTGCAATCAACAATGTCTTCTTTTGTAACTTTTGCAAATAATTTAAACATTGTATATCAAACTAATCGAAATCAAATTATATCAAGATCAAACTAATTCTGAATAATTAATGTAATAGTTATTATAAATTTTATTTAATATAGAGTATACACTCAAAACTGAAAGAAAGCAATTTAAATTTTCACAAGTTGACACCGTAGAAGCCAATGTTTGTCAAAGGCCGGTCCAGTTTGCTCTCAAAACGGTATCTTTTAAACAAACACCGCCCGTTCAGTAAAGAAGAAAAAGGAGCGCCCGTCCACCAAAAAAAAGTATTGAAATATAATTTCGCAACCACACAGACTCCCCAACACCGAACTCAACGATTGAACGAAAAAGAAAACGGTCAGCTTACAACATTGCGCCTCGACAATATTTAACTAGCACTCGAACGGCAGTCCGGTAATGGTCGTCCCGAATAACTTGCCTAGGAGAAGAAGAAGAAGAACCAGAAGAAGAACTCTTCCATCGGTACGCAGTTTGTAAGAAGACAAAGCCCTCGAAACACTTGTGTATGTTAATGTGACGTATAGAACGAGTAGATTTGGTGTCCGTTCGTAGTCCTCTTGACTGCGTTTCTTGAACAACGTTCGCTTAACGATTTGAAAAGTAGTTTAAGTGGTGAGCAACGGCGGCGACATACGATGAAATGTCGAGTGGTGTGTTAAAAAAAGATGTGAAGGGTTAATTAAAATTGAAAATGGGATTTCTTAACTGTTAAAAATCACATTCACAAAACAATAGGATTGTATTATAGGTAATTTTTAATTAAATTTTATTTCATGTTATTTGAGAAGTTAGTGGTTTCACTTAGTATTGAAGTCTCCTAAGATTTGATTATTTTCTTAGAAAATTTAAATTATTAAAACAGGTAAAAAGGGTGAAACTATTCTAAGAAAAGTTACGCAAAAATTATGGAGGGTCCGTCATAAATTTATTCACCTTTTACACTTCCTGCTTTTTTTTTCTTTTTAGATTTTATCATTATTTCCAAGAAAGTATTTTTAGATTGTGTTTAGACACAAAAAAAAAGAATGCAATTTAAAATTAATAAATTATTATGTCTTCTCGGGACAAATTACAATTTAAGTTATTTCGGTATAAATCAGACCTCTTTATAATAAAAAGAAGAGGATCGGTTCTCGTGCCCAACAAACCGTAACCGCTACACGTCAACAACTGTAAACAATTGTAAACATTCGCGCTCCGATTCACTTTCTGTTTCGTGCTTACTGTGCCTCAATTTCGCTATAACCTCGCATTTTTACGTTAATTTTCTGACTCATTCTATAAAAGCTACAAATTTCGCCATCATTTTACGTCGAGTTTTTTTTTATTTTCATACAAAACGGCGGTGTGTAACAATTAGGAGTAATTGGAGCATTTTTCAAGGTTTTAAATTGAATTGGTCTATTTAGGTTTTAAAATTAGTATTTGAATTGAATAAAAATTGGTGCAAATAAATTACAGTAAAACAAAAGTCCTTTATATGAAAAATCTTTAATTTACACTTTAAACTTGAGAACGTCTGAAGTTGTTTAACGCCGAATAACAACCAAAACTAACTGCTAAACTACAGGTACTGGTTTTTCTATTTCCTATTAGCTTTGAAACACTTTCTATATAAATTAACTGTCACCATTTTTAAAACTAGAACTAACACTAGCATTAAAACTAACCGAGGCCTAGTACTGGAATCATTCAGGTTCCAGGCTAGTTCACCCGAAACTTCAGTTCAATGAAAAATATGGAACAATCTAAAGTTGAATAACAACTAAAACTAAGACGAACATTAGAACTAACACTAGACCTAGAACTAGAAACATTCGGGTTTAGTCGTACGTCTCTTAAGACGGCTAAATTCGAATGTTTCTAGCTCTAGATCTAGTGTTAGTTCTAGTTTTAGTTAGTGCTAATGCTATAGCATTAGAACTAAAACTAGACGTAGAATTAGAATCATTACCATGTTTCTAGTTCTAAGTCTACTGTTAGTTCTAGTTTTAGTTCAATGAAAAATATACAACAATCCAAAGTTGAATAAGAACTAAAACTAGAACTAACACGAATATTAGAAATAACACTAGACCTAGAACTAGAAACATTCGAGTTTAGCCGTCTTAAGAGACGTAGTGCTATATTAACACTAGACCTAGAACTAGAAACGTTCGGATTTAGCCGTACGTCTCTTAAGACGATCGAGTTTAGTCGTCTTAAGAGATGTACGGCTAAACCAGAACGTTTCTAGTTCTAGGTCTAGTGTTAGTTCTAGTTTTAGTTAGTACTGATGATATAGCATTAGAACTAAAACTAGACCTAGAACTAGAATCATCCGGATTTAGCCGTCTTAAGAGACGTACGGCTAAACCCGAATGTTTCTAGTTCTAGGTCTAGTGTTAGTTTTACTTTTCGTTCAATAAAAATATACAATAATCTAGTGTTGAATAACAATTAAATCCGTTATATCGAGATTATACTGCAATAAATATGTTGTGTAGACGTTGATATTTCCAATCTACAATTTACTAAAAAATTTAATAATAATTACAGTTTATCCAGATAAAACGATTTCAGCATTCAAATCTAATTGGCCGAGATGCACCGGATTATTATCTGAACACGATAATAATAGTAATAAAGTTAATGGTTAAAACGGGATGTTTCTCGTTCCTCTTCAAATCCGAAACTACATCCAGATTCGAAACGTCATCAACGTAAATAACTAAATAATAAACAACATAATAATGCGCCAGTTCTATGTCCGTTCTACTTTCCATTCGAAACCATCGAAAAATTTATTACGGTTTGAGTTACACAAGTCGCGAAAGATGTCACTAAAAAATGAATCGAATCGATTTTTCGCGCGGTTATCGGTTTTTTAATGAGATCCTCACGTTCGACACTCACAAGATTTTCAATTATAGCATATACGCAGCAGTAAATTTGAACGGCGCATCAATCGCAAAAAAATATCGACATCTATGGGTATTAAAAATAAAAGGTGAAGAGATCGTTATAAGAAACATTAATTTGTTTTATGTGTTGGGATCGTTTGGGGTTAGGTTGAGTGTTATTCTAATTATATAAAATTGTTAAATAGATTCAAAATAATAATAAACAATAAAATATATCTGTTATGAAGATAAAAATTGATGATAATTTTTCATGAGAATGAGATAAAAACGTCCTCGTCGATGACATGTATAAAGAGGAAAAGAAAAGTTGGAGAGACGGTATCGTGCAGGTGATGTATGAAAGGTACGAGAGAACGCCGCAATTAAAATTTCAATATAATTGCTGCGTTCTTCTTCAAAATGCAAATGCGCTGCCGCCCGAGTCGATTCCTTGAAGTTGTTATCGATCTCGGTGCTCGAGCGCGTTATATCCTGAATAATCTCTATTTTTAACCGGTTCGCGATCCGAATGTCAGAACGAGCCGAAAGGACGAACATTATCGAAAGGACGAAGAGTAAACCACTGAGGAGTAGTGAAAAAAGTTACCGCCCCTCGACCCCCGCCGCCACCGTTACCTCCCCAGCCGCCAATGACTCCGAACTTATGAAATAAAAACGAAGATGCTTGTCTATACGACACTAATTCAAACATCAATATATTACCCCTACTGTTGCCCCACCAACCAGGCGCTGTGATCTTGTGGCAGGTATAACACATCCCCTCCTATAGAGACCGCGGTATCTCAAGTCCGAGGAGTTCCTGTAGTCATTCGCTGCTAGATCCTTGACTTGGTACGTTTCGCACAACACCTTCACGATACCGTCCGAGACGTACCGAAAATCTACGTTATAAAAACCCCAAAAAAAATACCCCCCCAAAAAAGAAAATTAATATTAAATTTTTCGCGAGTGACCCGAATACGTTTCCATTAAAAAAATCGAACCCAATTAGAACCCGGCGACTAAGTGAACTAGAAACCCATACAAATAACACGAACGATCAGTGATAAGTGCTTGAGTAAACGACCGAAATCAAAATATTAAATACCGCGGCGATTTCAAAATTAGCACCGCGGACCTCCCCGAGTGAAAGTGATCTCTGTTATTAACACGTTGAGTGAAGAACTGGATCATCATCGGTATATACGACGACAGTGCACGCGCAATGTTGCATGCTGTGCGCCGTTGATGAGAGGTCCTTGCAAGGACACCCCCGGAACCTGGACAATTTACAATTTTCCACCGATTACGACCACGACAATCCAAAGGTAAGTCACTACATCATACTAAAACCTTGTTTTGAGAGCAATTCTTAATTCTTAACTCTTAACCGGCGGAGCTTTTACGCAATCGGTTTTTTCGCGGAGAACTCGATGGGCAGTTGAGCGAGCTTCCCGTTTGGTAACTTCAATGACAAGCCAGACAACGAACGCTTTCCGGCGGCAAAATCGTTTCGTTTATTCACGAATTCCGCACACCTAATTGTTGCACCTCGGAACAATAGTGACGAGTTAAGCAATATTACCGAAAGACACAGGAAACACCTAAATTGTTTCTAAATATTTCATTTTTTTTTACTCCTATTTAACAAAAAAGAACAAGAACTTTATTCAAAATAACTTAATAAACTTGAAGTATAAAATCAAATTAATTTTTTATTACTAAAATTAACTTTTAATAGTTCTACAGTAATTATAAATGAACCAATTTATATTCATTATTTTTTAATTATTAGTTATTTAAAATAATTAAATTCATTAGAATTATATATCTATTTTAATTTTTGTTAAAACTCATAAAGTAGCCTCTATAAATGAAATCTAAAACATTTTCTATAAAAAATTTGATATCTTAACGTTAAAAATGTCTTAAACTTAAATAAAATCTTAAGTTACAAATTTAAAGAAATTTTCCCTATGATCCTATGGAAAAGAATAATTACAATTCAGAGCATAAAGTGATTAAGTCACAACAAGCATGAACTCATCATCCTTTTAAGCCTATAACAAAGCAAGAATATATTAATATAAAATACGTTCGTTGCTACTGTATTTTGTATTATAAATAAGTAAAGACCCAGTTTAGTAACAGTAACAAAACAATCTTATAATTGAACATTTTATTCCGTCACCGCCGTAAAAAATTTGGTTACAATTAAACCGTAATAAGCGATTTTTACCTGTTTTCTATTGAGTGATTACCACAATGGAAAACCAGTAGTTTACTCTTGTTTTGTCTTCTACGAAATGAACGGAAAATTTAACCTTCCCAGAAAACTAATAGCTTTTAAAAGCGTTATTTTGGTTAATAGAGGGGTTGACCAAACCATTTATCATCGAAAAACCATAAGTGACAGATGTTCTTTTTCTAAAAGTACTACGCTTATTAAACGTAAAATTTTAAAGTAATATTTTAGGAAGCTTATTTTTTTTAATTAGTAATTTTTAATCTTTAATTTAATATTGTAAAAAATGTTATTTGCTCCGCAAGATAATGAAGACTTTACTTATAAAGTTCGCGTTCAGAAAACCGACGATGACGAACCTTGATGTGACTAAGGCAAATTGCCGAGGAAACTGAAAACCGAAGGGGGCAGCCACAGTCGCAATTTCACGGACATTATTGTCGGCCATTGTGGCCGGTTAACGAGATGCCCCCCGACAGAACGGTCGCTGTTTGAGAAGAAGGCGATATCGCGACAGGCCACTTAATGACTTTCGGGCCCGTTTTGGCGAAAATCCACACTTACCTTATTCAGTCGTAAACGTGAAACCGCCAAGACACACAGACAGTAGAAATTTAATAGAAAAAATCCAATAGAAAACCATAAAAGTTATTTAAAATTTATAGGAATGAATCGTTCATAAATTATTTTTAAAAAAAGAAGGGTAATAAAACTTAAGATTTAGATCGAAAATATTGATTTTCTAATGTGTCAAAAGGAGCTATCATTAAAATAAATTTATTGAAATACTTATTAAGCCATAAAACTTTTGTTGTAACTTTTTATTAAAATAGATCTATTTATTTATTATGTCCCTACAACTTCAAACTTTAGTTATTCCTTCCTCAAGCCATGATTTTACGAAATCGTGCATTACGATGGCATTGCGGCCGTCCAACCGAGCGAACGTTCCAGTACACATCCGTACAAATATACTGTGGGAATCTATCACTTTAATAATTGATGATAGTGGTACTCCGTCTCACGAGAGGCGGCAAACGGAATTAGAATAAACGTTAAAGTCGCGTATGCCGTTAATCGCGACTGTCAATAAGAGAGGTCCGGCATTCTCTCCGTTGTTGGTTCTTTCAATATCCCAATATTTGTGGGTCGGTTTCTCGGGCGGTCGTCAAAATTTTGTTTAAACAGTGTCGCGGACGACGACATCTAATGCAATATTCATGGCAATTTAAATTTTTCGCGACCATTTCTCGGATTTCGGACTGAGTACTCACGTCTTGATCGATTTCAGTTACTTATTTGACCAGGTGTTGAGTGTTAACTTTCGTTCGTTAGTACCTTAGTGTCAAATGCAACTAAATCCTTTTTATAAACTTAGCGGGATATTCATATTTATCATCTACAAGGATTATAAGACAAATAACATTATATAAAATTTTATCTCTAAATTTATTTGTTTAAAACATTTTTTAATAACATCATCATAATTTCCTTTTAACTGAAATTTATTCAAAGTTTTATTATATTTGTATAAATATCGAGGCGTAAACTTATTAGTGTCTGCACCAAAAGAAATGATTAACTTAACCATCAATTTGTGGTACTTAACGTAAACTAATATTCAACGAATTATTTAGCGCGAGATTTCAACTGATATAGTTAAAGAAATATTAGTTAAATATAAATTGTTTATCATAAATGAAAATTAACAACACCTAAGAAGACACTTTAAAACTAGAAAGCTCGAACCTTTTTAACGAAGATGGATTAGATTATCTGATCTGAGATCTCAATCTCAAGATGTTTCAGCTTTCAATGGTTAAAATGAGGAAAATGTTATTGGGTTGAACAAAAATTACTTTTGACTCGATTCGTGAGTTTTGCGCATGCCGCCGCTCGTGGTTCTTTCTACAAGCTCTTTTTGAATAAATGTAAATTGCGAACGTTGTTAATAAAAATCTTTTAATACAAAACTATCCTAATTGGGAGTTACACGACGTGGATGATTAAAAATATTTAGGAATTATTTATTTATAAACGATTGCAGTAAAATCAAAGTTTTTTGATAAACAACATATGTTATAAACAATACTGAATTTTATGAATTGATAAAATCGTTGTTATCCTTTAATTCTTCATATTTATTTGATTTCGTGTAAATGATGATACCAGAAGCATTTCCGATTTTAGCCTTCTCTACACAAATTTGTTATGCAACCACTAAATGAATACAAGTCTTCATGATTGAAACATCTTAGCGAGAAGAAATCTATTAAAATTGTTCCAAATACAAACAATATCTTAAGATAAATAAAGACATTTTGAGAATATTTGTTAACGCTACTTGTAATAATAAATTGAAGGCATTTATGAAATGCGCAACAGTTTAATTGTGGATGAGTAGCAATACTTACGAGACAAAGACAATGCTAAATTAAAATTCAAAGAACGAAATTGGATTCGGACGGGTTGCATTTTAAAGATCTTAAAGATTATACCATCGAAGCTATTGCTTCTACTACAAATTTGCGAATACTACGGAGGTAGTTTGCGAGTAAAATAAAATGTTGCACATATAGCGGCTTTCTTTCTTTTTCTTCTTTTCCTATATCGCTTACCACAACATACCTCGCATTATCTTGTGGGTGCTTCCTTGTTTAGTGTAGGAGGAATAAAAGTAGAGACATTTCGTTCCGTTAGTTGTAATATGGCAGATGATTTTTATTTACTTGCTTTTTTACATTTAATTCACTGATAATTTTAGATAAGTCTTTTTACTAGATTGTTTCTAAAATCTGAATTAGTTCTTTCATCTCCATTCTTTTTACATAAGAGTTCCAAAAGTCATCTAAACGTTCTCACAATTTTTGTTTTTGTAATAATGTCTTTATCTGGTATTATCTGTTTTACTTGTTGGTCTTTCAAAGCTTTTATCTTGCCACTTTAGGATCATAACATTTCTTTTTCAGCAACTATTATTTCACCTTTTTTCAGTTTTTTGTCTGAATGGAAGTAATTCCATGTATTTGTTTTATTTGTTATTGAAAATTAGCTAGTTGTGGTGATTGAAAATGGCTCAATTAATGCCATGATAACTTGTAAAGTAATTAGTGTCTTTATATTAATTACTGCTTAGGGTTTTAACGTCGCTCAAGTTGTCTCGCGCATGCACATTTAGTCCGGTTTCGGCTCGAGATAATTCGAGTGTGCACGTGAAGGGGTTAATTAATCGGATTTAGTACAGAATAACCAATGATTTTTTAATTTAAAATGACATTCAATTTTAGCATTGATGGTTTTTAATAGAACTTTTAACACTATCGATCAAGGTGTGTTTTGTTCAGGTTTACGGTGTTTTGGGGATTGGAAGTGAATTCCAATCATTAATTCGAAGATTACCGCCTGATAGAAACCAGGTCGTAAAGTTTTTCAATTGTCCATCTGCTTCTAAACACATTAACCGTCGCCCGTCGAATACCGAGTCATAACGAGTACAGATTTTACCTGGTATAGTTAAACGATATTATGACTCCTTATACCATCAAATTAGAAATTTATTTGTATAATTGATTAGTATGTATTTCATATAAGGTTTGTTCTTCAACATAAATACACTTGTTCATAACATTTTTCTTAAGAAACATCTCGTTATCCTCCTATTAAAACAAATTATTTGATTTGGGTCAAATTGACCCTGTATTCGAGTTGCACGTCGCAATCCAGGCATTCGTCGGGTTGTTAGAAGAATCTGAAATATGAAGATGATTTCTGCAAGTTTGCAAGAAGACTTGAATAATATTAATAATTTTGTATAAAAGTATGGATTTAGCCTTAAAGCTGGCAGGTCAGCTGTGACTGAACATGTAAGAATAGATTTTGAAGCAAAGTTTGAAAGTTATTTTCTTTTAGAAGTTACAAGTTACTTGTACTATCGCAATTTACTTATATGGTACCTGTATATAATGCGATAAATAGGGTAAATGATATAACTATATATAAATGCGATAACTTCTATAAATAGGATAAATGTATAAATGGTACTCATCTAATCAGAGTGTAGACAGGATGAAAATCTTGCCTACC